AAGCTAATTGTTTGGCAAATTCAAGTTTAATTTTATGACTCTTTGTTGTTTTTTAGTAATATGATTCTTATCGTTGCCATCATTGATCAGATCAGCCAACTTCTTCTTATCTTGATTTCAGGGTTCAAAGGTTTATGTTCCCCTATGACTACCAAATTGTTCAAGAGATTCACAGAGATGATCCTGAGGAAACCAGGAGACAGGTGCTGGAGGTAGGCCATCATCTGACTCCAGATGAGGCGAGGAGCTACGCCATAGCTCAGCTTCCTCGAGAGACGTCGAAGCACACCGGTTTCGCCTTCGATTCGCCGGGCTTCGAGTCATTTTTCGCATCACAGGCAGGTGTGTTTGCTCCTCACAAGCCATGGGATGTGATCCGTAGGGCTAGTATTAAGTCAAAGCATAGAACAGCCAAATCCTGATTCTTTTACCCATCACTTTGGAGGATTTGTATTTTTATTCTTATTTTTTTTGCGATTATTAGCTAATGTGCTGATTATGTAATTAGTTCTCATTGTAATCCTACCCACTGAAGTTGGCTGTGAACTTTTGTTGCGATGGTTTTCTTTTTTCTTCCTTCTAATGCTTTTATTGGAGGTGTATAGCTTAACAGGAAATATAATCAGAAGCTTCTTTGTTGATTTACTGCTTAATAGTGTTATAGACTTTGTAATTTAAATGTGCAATTTTATTTTTTTTTCTCTATCATGTTTGCATCTTTAATATAATTTTATTTAATTATTTTGTTTTTTTGGGGCTGTTGAGAGATCGAACGGGAGCCATGACCCTCCTATAATGAGGATCCATCATTTCACTATATGTTGAACTATAGTTATCTGCAAGCTTGAGCTCGAATTCGAGTCCATTGTTATAAATGTGAGTTTAGCTCGAGTTAATTATGATTCAAATTTAACTCAAGTTATTTACATCCTCATCCTCTTCTCTCCTCTTATAAATATATGAATTTTGATTGCTCTAAATTAAAAAAACTAAGGAAAAAAATATTAAAATAAGGATTCAAATATGGGTTTGATAGTGTAACTAATTTCTTTGACGAGCTTACCAGCAATCAATCTCGCAGGTGCTGAGATGCGATTCAAATATGGGTTGAGAGGTTGATAACAATAGCTAAGTTTGGTGGGGTAAAATGGGTATTATTATTGACATATGGCTCGAATAAATAGAAAAACAAAACTTCAATATTCTCGGCAATTAAATTTTGAGGAATTTATTGGGGGTATCCTTGTAATTAAAGTGAAATATAGCCATTTTCTTTGTCATAGTAAACTTAAAATCTTGCATGGATGACTATTTTTTTATTTATTTATTTTAATTGGATTATGGAGGGCGAATAAGTAATTTCTGAGTAAAAAAAAAATAAAGTAGAAAAGAGAAAATTAAAAATAAATTCAATATGCCGAGTTATGAAAATAGAAAAAAATATGAGAGAGGGCATAGAGATGGTAGCAGATATGGAGAATTAATTAATATAAAAGATTTTAATAAATAGAGATCAAATCATAGATGAGAAAATGGTAGAACAGTAAAATTTTGAATTGAAAAATCACAAAGTATCCCATTACACTTAAAATGCAGGATTATAAATTTATAATTCATCTGAAACAGCTGTAATTTTTTATAAAAGTGATTATATATATAATACTTTTTTTTAAAAGCAAAGAAAAAAATTTGTAATCAAATAAAAAATATAATTAAAATCTAAAAAATAAACAGTAAAAAAATAATCGTGAACAAAGCATTAAACCAAAAAAAAAAAAATTAGGCAGAGATTTTTTGTATCGCAATTTAAAAATGTATATTAGGATACTTAATATTTTTTTTTAAAAAAAAAAAAAGCATTTTATAATTTTCTTGTCTTGCATATGAATCTTCTCTCGACTTCATGAGCATATGGACTTTTAAAAATGATTATTCTATATAATTAACATATGATTTTAATGATAATATAGTCTACATTACTCATATGGTCAATTTAATGCCCTCATCATATTTCATCAATTTAATTCAACAACCATCCAAAATTGGAACTTTTATTACGTCCTCGGACCGGACGTAGATCTAGGTTCGGTCAGAGAATTGTTACTTGGTATTTGGTCGGTATTTGTAGGTATTATTTGGTAATAACGAGAAATACCGCTCTATGAAAATCAATACCGAATAATACCGAGCAATACCGAATAATACAAAAAATATGAGATTTAGGCTTCCTTTGGGACGGCTTTTCTAGGAAAAACTCGGTATTTTTTGTATTACTCGGTATAACTCGGTATTGGGTCTTCACATAATGATATTTCTCATTATTGTTGGTATTGCTCGATATTTGCTCAGTATTTCTCGTTTTGTGCCTGCGATCTTAGTGCCGGCCGAACGTAGCTCTACATACGTTCACCAGACCAAATAAAAGCTCCCAAAATTGAACCCAATTGATCCCTTGAAGAGATAAATTTCCCTCAATTTTTACTTGAGATATCAATTGAGATAAATTTTGTATAATCGAGAAACTAAATTTCTATCAATTTTGTATAATAAAGCTAAAGACAATCAGAAGCTGTGAACCTACATATTAAAAGCAAGTCAATTGAAAAGCTTGCATGGCTGCAACCAAACGCCCTTGTTTTTTGTCTCTTGTCTCACTTCTTTAGAAGGTCACAGACTGTTTCACCAACAGTATCAACTTCACCCATCAGCAACTATTGAATTCCAAACAAAAGTTAGAGATAGAGAGAGAGAAGGAAAGAGATAGAGAGAGAAAGAGAGAGAATTGGAAGAAAGCAGAGGAGGAGGTGAAGTGAGGAAGCTTCACATAGTTTATTTCCTGTGTCAAAATGGGAAGATGGATCATCCTCACCTTCTCCGGGTTAATCGCCTGAACTGCCATGGAGTTTGTCTTCGAGGCGAGCATATTCAATCATTATCATTATCATCATCATATTCTTCTTTCTCTTCCTTTTCCTTTTCTATCATTCTGTATTTAAAGCTTCGTTTGGGACGGTTTTTTTCTTGCTTCTTAAAACAATTTTCTAGTACAAATATTAAATTTTTTGTACTAAAAAAGCCGCCCCAAACGAAGCTTAAATCTCATTTGTGTGTGTTTTCTTTAGTTTCTAAGTTATATTTATATATAGGATTGTATGTAACACAGATGTGAAGAGATGGCTATCACAGTCAAGGGGTGAAGACATGCCAGAGTGCTTTGCATGGTCCTACAAGAGGATTACTAACTCTCTAATTGGTTGCATTATGATTTTTTAGATAGTATATTTCTCTTTTTAATCACAGGGTTTTACTATCCCAACTGCAAGTCATAGCAAAGAAAAGTAGAACTAATCAAATGAGGCTTCATATTATCTTGATGGCTCATTTGCTTGGTTGTAGCTATAGTGTGAGTATGCATGTAGGAGATATAGGGGTAGGGGTGTCAATATTTGATACGGTCTGAAAACTTGACCAGAAAATTTTGGGTTATGGTCAACCCGAACCTGAAACGGGTCGGATTTGGGTTCAACAATTCGACCCGTTTCAAAAATTGAGCCGGGTTCTGGTTGACCATCTGACCCAAAACTGACTCATTTTTAACCTGAAAACCCGTTTTGACCCGACAACCCAAGATTAACTCATTTTGGACGCATTTTTTGACCCAAAAAGCGGAGCTTGACCCATTTTTGTACCCGAAAACTAGCATTTTTTTTTTGGATGGCACCAAGTCATTCGGTTCGTGTCGTGTTGACCCGGACCCGAAGCAGGTCGGGTTCGGAAAACCAACCCATTTTAAAAAACGGGTCGGGTTCAAGTTGACCCAAATAATGCCGGGTCAGTTTCAGATTCGACCTGAACCTGACCCGTGACTCAAAATTGACACACCCCTATATAGGGGTGGCTATGTGTGGGAGGACCTTGTCGACAACGATCTCATCACAGCCATCCCCGACAACAAATATGCCCTCAAAGGATCTCTCTTTCCTTCTCTTACTAAAACCATGGAACCCTTTGTCGACAGAGAGAAATCACCAAGCAAACAAGAAGCAGAGGAGAGAGAACAGCTAAAGATAGATGACAACATATGGAGCTCAGATGTGATGAACAGCACTGAAAGATTCTTCAGGATAGGAGAAGGACAATAGCTCAGTTACAGTTGTGAAGAAGAAGACGATAGAGAGTGAGCTTATAAAGAGTGATAGCAATGGAATAAAGACAACAAATGTTATGAGAAACTTCATTGGCCCCTTAGAGCAGCGGAGAGAGAGGAGAGCTCTGTGGCTGGGAGCAGTCATGGAAGCAATAGCAGTAAGAGTGCAAGGTGCAGAACAGTATTGCCCTCTTTCATACTAAGCTTCAAAGGTGGATTTCAGACATTTTTACAAAATATAAAAAAAAAGTCACATTTCAAAGAATTCATTGACATAATTGAAATTAAAAGAGAATAAGATAATAAACTATCAGCAAGCTCAGAAACTCATACAGGTCAATCAGAACAAAATAAGATGATTATTCTTAAACTGATGTATTCTAATTAAGGCTTCGTTTAGGATGACTTTTTTTATGCTTCTTAGAGCAGACTTTTAGTAAAAATTTTAAATTTTGTACTAGAAAGCTGCTTTAAGAAGCAGCGAAAAAGCCGTCCCAAACGAAACCTAAATCATGCAGAAACAGCTGTAGCACAAACAGAGAGAAGCCGGCAACTGAAGGAATGTCGTCGGCATAGGAGCAACGAGGTCAAACTGGATCAATAGTTCATATTTAAATGTATTAAAATAAAATTGAAGCGACTTTTTTCTAGAGGAAAAATAGTTCATGTTGCCCAAAACATCATTCAAAAAATTTCCATTTTCATAATAATTTTATAACTAATGCTAACTGCAATCAATCCCAAATGGACCTAAAGGCGGTGTACAGATAAATCCTTCTTTACGACGATCAGACAAATCTGCACATACCTAACAATTCTTATCACAGTGAATTTAGATCAAAAACAAAACATCTACCAAGCACAAATGCATTTCAAGAGACAAAACGCAAACTTAGTAAAATATGACTTGTCTTTATCAAAGCATCTGATCTCACACAAAATTAATATGATATGTAATAAACACATATCAAAATATTCAAATTCTAGAAACAAAATGCATATTTAAAAATCCTAACCACACTGATGACCTTGGGTGTGGCTGAAGAAGGGTCAGCGAAGCCTCCTGGCCTCCCTTTCAGATTCAAGTAGGGTAAGAATGTCTCCCTCCCTGACGGGTCCCTTCACATTCCTCATGATCAAACGATTTGGATCGTCCACAAACTTGACCCTGACCTGGGTTACTTGACCTCTGGAACCAGTTCGACCCATCACCTTTACTACAATGGCTAGCTTCACTTGAGAATCCATGTTCTGTGGGAGATAAAGAAGCAAACATCTTTAGTAAGTGGGAGGGAACCACGCAGATATATCCATAGTGAAAGCAAAGAAGTAATCGTAGTCGAAAATTTTGAAAGCGCAAATATCAATTACAGTTTTATGTGCTAAAAACCCATTTTATATCCGTGCATAGAATAAGAGGGCCTATATAATTTTCAGGATGATGCAATAGCAATGTTGGATGCTGGAAAATGTATGAAGATGGAGAATATTTTATATCCTAATTTTGCACGAAGATCTGCACACACAAATAAAAGAGAAGAATGTAGGAGACACCCCAATTTTTCCTTGAAAAACTAGAAACAGGAAAAACATAGGGCCTAGCCCAATTAAAATAATCCACTATATATTTGAAGTTGCAAAAATCTGCTCTTCTCCACATCAGCCCAGGCAAAGATGGAATGAGTACTGAGAGTCATAAATAGCATTATTTTCTAATAATCCAAAGCAAACATATCAGCATCAAGAATAGCCCTTAATTGAGGCTATAAGAGAAACAGTTGAAGTTGAGATGAAGATTACAACACTTATGAAATAGAGAGAAATCACATGGGAAAATTACTGCTAAGAAGTAGCAGCCCATTTGGGAGATGCCATTTTTCATGATTTATACTACAATAAGAAAAGTAAGACCCTTCGAAGAAAAAGAAATCAACAAAGCATATCCATAATAAGGCCTCAACCAACAAGACTACCAAGAAAAAATAGGCCAGTCAAGAGATCTCTAATATGAAAAAACTTAATTATCCACAAATTACCTTGCTAACAAATAAAACTTAAAAATGCATCTCAGAATCACAATTCATATAAGGGTTCATTTAGTTGCTTGTAAATAATGTTCATATTACAGCCAATATTGATTCATGAATAAAACCAACTAAATAATGGAATGAGCAAATTTCATTGTTTTTCAAAACATATTTGCTATGATCAACCAGCAAATGGGATCTCAAACAAGGATTTGCAGGATCAATAAGTTGGTAGTATTCATTCAAAATTAACAAAATTATTTTTCACTAAATTTTAATATGCTCATTTATGAAGCGCCTAATTATTTATATAATCGGTAAGTGCAAAAGCAAATTTCCACCCAATAAAACATGACGCCAACAAATCAGAATGATCGCCAGAAACTGATACTAAAAAAAGATGAAGCGGCTCTACGACACGTTAAAACAAAACCATACGAAACAATAATTCGACGATAAAAGTCCACAATTGGAGCAGATAAAATCTGTGGGTTCGAACAATATCATTGTAACAGTCTTAGAGAGAGAGAGAGAGAGAGAGAGCGCAAAACCTAAGAATCTCCGCTGCTCGATAATCGCTTTCGCCGAGTTCTTGGAAGAGGAAACCAGGCGGCTGTGTTGCCTTCAAACCCTAGCTTGCTCTATATATAGGAGACTTGTGCAAGCTTGAAGCTTCAATATCGCTCGTATCGGTTTCGGAAATAGCGGAAACAAAATTCGTTCGATGTTTCGGTTTCGGCAAGATTACGTAGCTAAATCTTGACCACCCGAAAAAGCGCTAGCTATTTAAAAAATAAATAAATAAATACAATTTATGAATTATGATATTAATATATTATATAAATATTTTTTAATATAAATTTAATATCATTTGTGTCAAAATCTTTTTATATAATTAGATTTCAAGAAAAAAATTACATTGACTATGAACATTTTGATATTAGAACAATTGGAAAAAGTGGAGTGTCAAAATGGGTTAATGGGCCAGTTACAGTGTAACCTAAAATTAACTTGATATAAATGCACTAGACTCGAACCGTAAAAAGTTTTACCTAAACTTAACCCGCTGGAAAACATGAATGACCTGATCTATTACCCCCCCCCCCCCACCCCTCAAAATTGAAGCTGGTTCCGCCCCTGGCCAAATATATAGATCATTTTGTCATCCAGTTAATAGCTTGATGTTTACAATTACACTTCATGCCTTTAATTTGAGCTTGGATTTGCTATTTTTTGTGTTGTTGGGTTCGTCTCGTCAAGATATTCAGTTTGATTATAAATTTGTTGAAATTGGAGATTGAACAATCCCGATTTAAATTTCAGAAGTTTCTAATTTAAATATTCATCGAGATTTGCATCTGATTAAGATGGTTTTTTACGGCGTATCAAGTATGATGTTATGTTTTCTATTTTTTCTTAGATATGTCAATTCATTCATATGCATAAAGGTAGACTATGCTAAGAACAACATACAATAATAACATAAAATCATAAGATAGTCCACACATTGTGTAATGTAATTGAAATATATATATATATATACCAATAACCATACACTAATTAGAGAAAATAAGGATTATTGAATTGGCAATTTATTGCTTTTTATAATAATAAAATTTCATGGTTAATTAGATGACAAGTTCCATAATTAAGGCTTTCATTTTCAGACTTTTCTTGGATTGAAGAATATTTGTAAGAAAAATAAATCGTCAAGATATCCTAATACAAAATACATTATGAAGGCCTTCAAAATTTTAGGTTTTGCAATAGGATTAGTATTATATATTATTTATTGAATGACATTAATCTCTACGTAAATTCAAGGGCTTTAAAGCCTATTCTGATATATTTTGCGTTAGGACGTCTTCATATAATTTGTTTTTTTTTATATATGATATACGACGATTGTTTTGTTATAGACTTTGTATTTGAATTCAAATATGAAGAATAACAACTATGATTCTTAAAAAAAATTGCGAGCGGTTGATGAAGGCTGCGTTTGGGGCAACTTTCTTATTGTTTTATAAAGCAATTTTCTAGTACAAGAATTTCTTGAACTATCAATTTTTTTACTAGAAAGCTGCTTTAGAAAACAGTAAAAAAAATGTCTCAAACAAAACCTAAATTTGCATTACTTTGTTGGTAGGCATAAACTAAAGAAGAGCATGAAATTTGTGAGGTATTAGCTAAATTAAGTTTTGGCATAAATATTTTTGTTATAATTGGTGAGTGCAAGTTTCTTCTATTAAATAACCTCCATTGTAAATGATTAAAGCATGGAAGCTTGAATTTTCATTGCATGTGAAAGCTAAATATACTCTTTAGTTTATAGCATGGTCATCAACAAAATCTGTCCATGCATCTTTAATGAATAAAAAACTTAATAGTTTCTTTATATTAAGTCTTCCTTTGAGACAATTTTTTTAAAGCTTTGTAAAAAAATACTATAGAGAAAATATTTTTTAAAAATTATTGTAGAAAGCAGCTTTCTAGCACAATTTTTTCTTTAAAAGAGGCTAAAAATTGGATGTTGCAAAATAGGAATTGTGGATGTGGTCCAAAAAGCAAAGTAGTGAGAAAGTTGTCTCAAATGAATATTGTGCTGCTACTTCAAACCTTGTTGCATACTGGAACATTCGCGACTGTAGAGAGATATATAGTTTATCATCCAAACTTTGTATGAATATCCATTACACATGCAGTTAATAGAGAGGGGTGCACGCAAGAGTCATAAAAGTCATGACAATTTTTCAAAAGGGGAAAAATCAGAAGGTCTGCTCAAGTTAAAATGATTCAATTAGTATTTATTGTAGATTACAAATGAAGCTCTTCTTTGGGGAGAATGCACATATAGAGCACATTATATAGTGGAAGTTGGAAGAATCTAGTAATATGAGAGTTGTTCTGAATAGAGTGTTAGCATGCTTGTTTAATCAGTCAGACCATAAATAGGTGATAGTGGTCGGAGGGATTGTAGTCATCAAGCGACAGTGGTTAGAGGGACCGTAGTCTTCAGGTGATAGTGGTCGAAGGGACCATAATCGGCGGGAAACAGAGGTTGCAAGCACCGTAGTCGGGGGGAGGGGGACCATAGTAGGCCGATGATGGTTATTGGAGGGATCATAGTCGACGGGCGATGGTGATCTGAGTGGATCGTAGTCGGCAGACAACAAGGGTCAGAGGGATCGCAATCGGCTGGTGACAGAGGTCAGAGGGACTGTATTCAATGGGCAACAGAGGTTGGAGGGACCATAGTCAGTGGGTAAAGATTGACAAAGTGGTGCGTCGATGTCAGCAGGGGGAAGGTCTGATGGAGATCAGCGGACGAGTGGATGTCCAGTTGTGATTGGCGGACATGCGGTGGTCTTATAATGTTTGGGCGAAAGTCCTGTGGAGATTGGCGGATAGGTGGTTGCCCGACTGCAGTCAACCGTTGGGCGTAGGTCTGAAGTGATCAGCAGTCAGAAGGTGGCCTGACAATGGTCAGGCGGAAGTCCTGCTAAGATCGTTGTCGGGCGGTGGTCCAATGATATGTTTGTGGCCAGATAATGGTCCAATGATGGTCGAGTGGTGGTCCGGAGGTGGTTGGCAACTGGTTGTGGTCTGATTATGGTCGAGTGAAAGTTAGGCAAAGATCGTGTGACCTAGCAGTGGTTCGACAATGGTCGACGATCGGGCTATGGTATGGTTGATCAATGGAAGATTGTTAGTTGTGGTGCTTGGGTGGAGCTTTAAGATCATCGAAGCCTTATAACACTTTGCAATCTCCATTTGAAGGTCTCTACTCTCCTCGTTCATTGTGGAGTCTGAGTAGTCATCGGAGGAGCTGCACCCGGTATCCTGCATCTCCTCAGAATGTTTGAGTTCATCAAAAATCTCACCTAAGACTTCCATCTCATCCCCCATACTGGACCCAATGTTGCATGCACTACTAGCATCCATGGGAGCCAAAACTGGGGAAGAAGATAGAGAGTGGCTATCTTAGGTTCTGAGCTTTGGGTTCATCTTGTTGTCCTCCTCCCTGGCCCGTGTAATCTAACCACTTCCCTGATAAAAGCTGCTGCCACTGATACCGCAGTGTACGGATGTCGTAGGAGGATGAAATGTGCATATTTACTGAGTCGGTCCACCACCACATATAATAAGTTTTAAGACATATAGTGAGCCCTGATAAGTTTTTGGAGAAGGAAGAATTCACAAATCTTCCAGTGAAGATAAGGTAAATAGAAAGTGAGATAGGAAAGGAATAATCAAACTTTGTATGGATTGCAACATCAGTTTTGCAACAAAGAAACCATGATTTATTGTGTTTTGCAATCAAACTCAATGTATTTTTATGCTAAAGTTAATGGATATTGTTCTATGGAATCATGGTTAAGCTAATTTTCTTTCGATAAGCTGTCTTTTTATGCTATATTCGTAAGGCTTTGTTTGTAATTTTCCAAATATGCTGATGCTGTTGTTGTTGATGTTGCTGTTCCATGAAGGGTTGGATAAATGAATGCTTGCTAATTTTTCTTAAAATTTTGTGAGTGTCACACGCCGTAAATATGGAGAAAATTCAAGGTAGATTCAAAGTGCTCCATTAGACGACCCTTATTGATTCCCTCGATTATAGAGTGATCATTAAGCATTTTAGTGTCATAATGATGTTGGAATTAAACAATCTTAGACTCGTCGGATTATTCTCGTTGAGCCGGCCCAATCAACTATGAACATGCTATATTTGGATATCATTTGGTCATCCAATTTATATTTTAAGCTTTTCAAATGTATTTTAGTCCCTTTGTTTAGGCCCATTTGAGCTTGAATTGAACTGATTTCTGTGTTGTTAGATTATTCTGCTTGAGTCATTCGATTTGACTATATGTTTGCCGAAATTTGAGCTTGCATAGTCCCAAATTTAATTTTGGAAGTTTCCAACTTGAATATACCTGAAGATTCATGCTCGATCAAGGCAATTTTTGGTGAGTTATAATTAAAATATGTTTATATAGGTTTATAAAAATTATAAAGACTTATTAAAACATAGAAGTTTCTAGAATTATAGAAAATTTTATCATGACTTAAAATAACAAGTGCTCATCAATAAAAATAAAACTAGTCATTTTTCAATAAGAAATAATCTTTAAGTATATTTAAACTATAAATACTAAAAAAAAATCTATATTTGAAATCTTAGATGAAGTCAATTTGTCGTATTAAAAAAAATCTTCACTGTGATGAGTTCTTAAACCCGAGATGGGAAGAACAGGGAGGAAGAAGAACGAAGCAACAACAGTAAAAACAGAGAAAGTAAAATTCTATTATTTACCCGGTTACAAGCTAATACAACAGTATTTATAATAAAACTTATTCAAGAAAGTACAAAGAATTGCTGACGTGGCCTATTCATTAACAGCCCCTCTCAAATTAACGATTCTGATCACGAATTGTTAATTTGGATCTTAAATTGTAAAACCTATTAATAGGAAGAGATTTGGTAAGAATATCTGAGATTTGATCTTCGGAAGCAATATGTGTAACGGTAATGTTGCCTTGCCGAATATGTCCGCTAATAAAATGATAATCAATCTCTATGTGCTTCATTCTGGCGTGGAAAACGGGATTGTGAGCGAGTGCAATAGACGACATGTTGTCACAATAGATGGT